ACAGTGGGTGTAAGGTTGTCAAGCCTGCAAAATACTTTAAAGTGAGGCAAACACACTGCTGATTTGTGAGGGCTTACAGATTCAGTGTCTTGTTTTAGCCCCTTGATTGGTTATGACAAGGAGCTGCACAAGCTGTAGGAAAATTATTTCCAGACTCTTGCAAACTTAATGCATTTTGTTTTTAATTGATGCTACAGATTTTGCAAGCCAACCTGTGACATAGAATATGTCCTGGCAAATGTGCCACTTTTCTCTTGTAATCACATTGGCGCACGCAAGAATGCACAAACATTGTGGGAGAGATGGAAGAGAAAGGGAGTGGGAGCAAAACAAAATTAAAATCCTCTAGTGAACAGCCTGCAGGTTCCCGGCTCCCAGCTCTCATCCAGCACTGTATTTTATCATTCTGTGCGAGTGCTGCAACTGAAACAGAGTGAGTGTACAAATCAAAGCCACTCTAGCTTACCCGTATACCACTGGATAACAGAGAGAGACAGGACGTCAGTGGGACAGAATGACCTCGGGACTTGACAACGGTCAGAAAAACGGCCATGCGCTGTTAACACGGGTCATCAGTGTTTCAGTGGTACCTTGCGGCTGTCACTCAGTGCGTAGCTTTGAGATATGGACATACTCGTAATCGACACCTTGCCCTGCAAATGTCTGACAGTGGAGGTAAACAAGGCCCGCTGTGAAATGAGTAATCAAATCACACAGAAATCAAGTACACATCCATCAAATCAACAAGCATTATGAGCTGATGAGGAACCTCTCTCAGCATAAAAGATGCACTGTCATTTGAGGCCTAGACATATCAGCCATGCTGAATTTATCTCCTCAAACATCAAGGGGGCATTGTTTCATTTGCATTAATTTCTCTAGAGATTCAGATTAGAACTACTGTATTTAGCTTTGGGCTATTCAGATTCCTATACAGAAGTTTTTGTAATTGCTGTTCTGTGGGGATATTTAAAGTGTAACTATCAAACAACAGAATACATGCTCATAAGTCACTGTAGGCAAACCCACTCTACACCAGGAACAAAGAGATGTAAATACTGAAGTCTGCTCAGAACAGAAGGGCAGAGACACTGAAATGAGTGTAATTTATTTTTTTGTTTAGCTTTTATTTATCTGGGGAAGATTTAGGCATTTCAACCCAGGGCCTTTCTGTGTGGAGTCTGCATGTTCTCCCTGTGCCTGCATGGGTTCTCTCTGGGTACTACGGCTTCCTCCCACAGTCCAAAGCCATGGCAGTGAGTGTGAGTGTGTATGGTTGTTTGTCTACATGTCAGCCCTGGGAATGACTGGTGATCTGTCCAGTGTGTACCCCACCTTTGGCCCAATGTCAGCTGAGATAGGCTGCAGTACCCCTGCAGCTCTATTCAGGAATAAGGTATAGGTAATGGATGGATGTATATCGTGAAACACCAGGAGGGAGTGAAAAATGCAATTAGATGCTGTTGCAGGATCTTAATAGAATTGTGCATAAACGAATGACCTCAAACATCAATGAACTGAAGCAATGTTATGGAGAAGAGTGGGCCAATATTTCTCCAAAGTGGTGTGAGACACTGATCAACTCCTACAGAAACTGTTTACTTCACATTATTGTAGGTAAGGGTGCTTCTACATGTTTGTAAATTATAGGGTGTACTTTTATTTTCCCACCTGGATTCTGAATGTTGGTTTACTTTTGAGAAGCAGTTGACTGCATACTGAAATCTATTATTTTTCTGTTGTCACGTGAGGTTGTTTTCTTTGTAGAAGTTGGTGAGGACAACACAGATGGTTTTTGGCCCTGATGAATAAAAACATAGAACTGAAGTAGGGTGTACTTTTTACCATGACTGTATGCCTCCGCCGAACAGTCGAGTTCATGGGAATGGGACAAATGTGATGTCACATTGACCTTGACCTTTGATTTTTGACCACCAACATCAGGCCATCCTTGAATCCAAATGGATGTCT